ATTGAATATTATTATTATTTGTAAAGTTAAGCCAAAATTAATAATAACTCTACTGTATTGGATAATGTTTTGTGATGAAAATAACTCGAAGATGATATATTTATATATATATATATATAATCATATTACTCGCTTATTGTGAAAGAAAGAAAGAAAAAAAAAAAATTTAGATTTTTATTTTTATTTTGTTTGCAATGATTAAGTTATTATTATTATTATTATTATTATTATTATCAGGCTTTCGCTTTAAAAATTTTACAAATGATTCTTTACGATTAGTAAAAGCAAATTATTTATTATAAATAAAATAATATAAAACCTGCTCCTGATAATTTATAAAAAAAAAAAAATAGAAAAGGAAAGAAAAGGAAAGGGGAAAAAAAAAAAGTAATAATGATAATTATTTTATTTTATTTTATTATAGTCGAGTGATTTTTTTTATAAATGATCGATTACTTTCCTTATTATTATTTGTAGTAGTTATTATATTAACACAAGCAGAAGAAATTTTATTTTTTAAAAATTTATTATTATTATTATTATTATTATTATTATTTGATTTTTTTGTTTTGGCTAACTTTATATATATAAATATATAGATTAATTGCCCTTGCCATTGCCTTTAAATAATTTAAATAAATGTTTAATATCAATGGGGAACAATTTTTTTAGAAACTTGTATTATTATTATTATTATTATTATTATTATTATTATTATTATTATTATTATTATTACTACGACGTAGGTGTTTGTTATTAAATATATATTGAAAAAAAATGAAGCATAAATAATTATAAAAAAAAAAAAAAAAAAGAATAAGTTATCATATATTAAAATAAGTTTTATATTATTATAAAAAGGAGAAAAGAAGAAGAAAAATTATTAATGAAATTTTATTATTATTATTATTATTATTATTATTATTATTAATATTATTATTATTATTATTATTATTAATATTATTATATATTTTGCATATTGTAAGTCGTCACACATTTGTAAATGCACCTTTATATTATTTAATTTTATTTTTTCATTTTGTAAATTTACATAAATGTATTTATTTATATATATATATATATATACATAGGTTATTTATTATTTATTTAATGTTTAAACAAAAAAGTCATTGTAATTTTTTTTTAGTGTGCCAGGCTGATTTTAGGCTCGTAAACAAAAAAAAAAAAGAAGAAAAAAAATTTATTTTGTTATAATTATAATTATTATTATTATTATTATTATTATTATTATTATTATTAGTAAATGATCATATCCGTAATAAATTTTTTAAATGAGACAAATTAAAAAAAAATATTTTACAATCATTATTATTATCATCGTGTAATTTTTTTGTTTTTGTGAAACGGTTTTTAAATATATATATATATATGTAAATGCTTACATACATACATAGATACATAAATATGTACACTTATTAAAATGCCAAATTAAATAAATAAATAAATAAATAAACGATGGGCATCTATTTGTACATATACATTATAAAATCATATTAGATGTCGATCTTTGTGTATCGCGAAAAGAGAGTGAGAGAGAGAGAGAAAATTGTGTAAAGTGAGAGAAAGAGAGAGAGAGAGAGAGAGAAAGTATTAGGGATCGATTAGTTTATATAAATATATTTGGAATTAAATGCTCTTTGTTATTTTTTTTTTTTTTAAATTTATTAATGTGCACAATCGAATTTATGTTGTTATTATTATTATTTTTTTAATTAATTAATTAATTTATTTTGTATTTGAATCATATCACAATCACCGTTTATTATTATTATTATTATTGTTAAATATTAATTTGAAAAAAATATATCGAATCGAGTTGTTTAATACGATTCAACAATACTTTGATATCATCTGATAAGACTTTAAATTACCGATAAAAGAAAAAATGAAAAAAAAAATTGCGTGTAAAAGGCTTTTTCGGGGGGGGGGGGAAGGGGGAAGGGGGGAAAGGGGGAAATTTGTAAAATCATATCATTTATTTTTGTTTTTTACAAAATGATCGTGTTATGCATACACACATATATATATATATATATATATATATATATAAATTTTGTTGATGTACAAAAAAAAATTTTTGAAAAACAAATAAAATTGCTTGCAAATCGAAAAAGTAATGAAAATTAATCATTATTATTATTATTATCATTATTATTATTATTTGTTTTAATAAAAAAGGAAAAGTTATGTAAATGAAATGTTTTTGTTGTTGTTTATAAAGTTATGATGTGATGCAAATGCGGGTAGTTAAAAAAAAATATTTATACTCTTTTTAACATAATTGTATAATTTCATTATTATTATTATTATAATTATTTTTTTTAAATTTAATTTTCACGGAGTTTGGTATAATAATGATAATGATAATAATGTGTTTAATAAGTAACGCGTCGTGAAAATTTAATTTTTTTTTATTTATAAAAGTAAAAAAAATGTGTAATAATAATAATAATTTAAAGTGGGCCAACCGATTAAATCGAATTATTATTATTATTATTATTATTATTATTATTATTTAAAAAAAAAAAAATTAATTTGCAAAATTAGAAAGAAATTTGCCGGGGAGGGGGGAGGGGGGAGGGTGAAGGAAAACAAAAACAAAAATCAAAAAGAAAATTTATTATTTTTTGTATGTAACAAAACATTAAAGGAAAATTTCGTCGAACAAATTTCAAATGTATTCTAATTATTATTATTATTTATAAAATATCATTTGTATTATCATTATTATTATTATTTATAAAAAAAAAAATATCAATCGGAAAATTACAGAATGATTTTTATTTTTGTTAAAAAAAAAAAAAAAAAATTGGAAATCGGTAATAATAATAATAATAGTAGGGGTAATAATAATAATATTGTTACATAAAATTGTTTTTCCCCCCCAACAAAATACGATTTACGCAATATTTTTTTTTTTTTTTTTTTTTTCGCTTTTTTTTTTTTTTTTTTTTGTACAAAAAAAAAAATAAAAATAAACTAACATGCCATAGCTTTCGTGTATGAAAAAAAAAAAAAAAGTATATATATATATATATATATATATATATATATATATATATATATATATTTTATTATAGTATTATTAAATGATTAAAATGTAAATTTTTTTTTTTTTTTTGTCTTTTTTATTATTATTATTTAATTATAAATAATTATCGAATTGAAAATAAAATTATTATTATTATTATTATTATTATTATTATTATTATGTATATTATTTGTTGTGTGTTGTATAATATGTTGAAAATTTAAAAAAATTAAAATATTTTTAATATGTCTTATAAATATTTAAATGCACACATTAAAATTGTTATTATTATTATTATTATTATTTTATATTGCTTAATAATAATTGTTTGTAAATGTACCAAACATCCCAACAACAACAACAGTGCCGTATTAAGTTAATCAAATTTAATATTGAATTTTCCAAAAAAAAAAAATTTGATTAAAGGAAGATTTTTTTTCTTTTTAAACAAACAATTAGGAGGTGGTTTATAAGTAAATCACTCCCCCTCCATTCCACTCCCCTCCACCCTCCCCTCTTCCCCCCGAAAAAATTAATTAATTAATTGATGTTTAAAAAAAAAAAAAAAAAAAATTATTTTGTTGTTGTTGTTATAAAAATTAAAAATTGAAAAACTTGTCATAAATAACAACCCTGTTAATTATTATTATTATTATTATTATTTCTACATTTTTTTGTTTAAAAATTAAAATCACGAGAAAATTTAATTATTAATTAATTAATTAATTAAAAAAAGAATACTTAACACATTAATTTATTATATATTGTTATATTCGGTTCGTTCTTTATTTTTGTAAGTAATGAACAAGCACTTAAAACTATCACAAAACTAATATTAATAAACAAGAACTTATTACAGCTAGACTAAAAATCAAAATGAACCGACGCCAAGCGGTGTAGCTTGCCTATATTACTTTGGTCTTTCGTCAGTCAACTGTTTCGAACGAGCAACAATGGGAACTAGCAAACACTTGCAAATAAAATAAAAGAAGGAGTCTTTAGAAGCTTCGCTTCTAAAGAAGAACAATTCGAGTTCGTCGCCAGTCTTTTGTTTATAAAAATTTGAAAATGTGAATATTGAGTACGGGATCATAACAATATATACATATTATTAATAAAATCTTTCTCTCTCTCTCTCTCTCGTTAAAAAATTATTGATTTTTATTTTTAATATTATTATTATTATTATTATTTTTGTTGCTAAAAATAAATTTTAAAAATAAATAAAAATTAAATTTTTGTTAAAAAGGGAGAGAGAGAGAGAGAGAGAGAGGTGGGGAGGGGGAGTGGGGAGAAAGAGAGGAAATAATCGTTATTGATTAAATTTACAATTACAAATTTTTCCCCTACATATATATATTCATTTGTTTTTTTTTTTAATAAAATTTTTTCATTGAAAACAATAATAAATAAATAAATAAAATTTTAATAAAAATTTAAAGTTGAAAATAAACAATAAATAATAATTATTAATTTGTTTTATATTATATTGTTTATTGACATTTATTTGAATTTTTTTATAACAAAAACATTTTTTAAATTATTTATAAATATTTTGTTTATAAATTTAATGATGATGAATGATATATGAAACCTATTTATTTATTTATTTGTTATTAATAATTATTTATTAATAATCTAATTACATTAATCTAGTTAATTGTTAGGAAAGATAAATAATTTTTCTTTTTTTAAACTGTCTTCGGTTTTATTTTATATTATAATAATATATATATATCGAAAAAGGAATTATTAATATATTAGAATTTATAATAATAATAATAACAATAAGAATGATAATAATATTAATAATAATAATAATTTTGTCGTCTTTAATGGAATAATCTTGATTTTAAAATGTTTATATAATGGGGAGAATTAATTAATAGATTTTATTTAATTTTTTTCGTGTACGATAATAATAATAATAATATTGTTTAGTATCTAAGAGATTTTTTTTTTGGGGGGAAAAAAAATTTAAGTAAGGTCAAGTTTTTTTTACAAGTTACAAAATTTTTTCTTAAGGTATATGTTTTACTGTTGAAAATTTAGTTCGAAAAAAATCCGCTAGAGTTAATTATTGAATTCGATCACGAGAGTGTAATAGCGCAGATGAGCAGGCGCCACTGTAAAGCGAACTCAGTTGGCGAAATGTGAAACTAATAATTGACCCGTGAGTTCTCCATTTTTTCGTAGGACGTAGGGTTTAGTTAAATTAAACGAAAATTAAATTGAATTTTTTTTTTTTAAAAAAAATATATTTATAATAATTGTTGTAAAGATTGTATTTATAAATAATTGTTTACTATTTATATATTTTTTTTTTGTGTAAAAAGCAAAAAAAAAGTTACGAATATATGTTTAGTTCGTTTTATAAGCGGCTATTAAGTGTTGGTGGAGGTGTCGGAAAATGATTTTAACAGCCCCTAGCGGGCTGTGGTAGTGACCGGGTTGTGCTTTTTTGATTTTCCCTGATTCGCAGGAAGAATTAAAAGGCCGCGGCCGGAG